GTACTTACTATACCAGACATTCGGGTTTTTTTTTTTTTTTTTTCAAATCTTTTTTTAAAGAATTATTTTCTGTTGGGTTATAGATGCAGCGCTGTAATACATACCTAGAGAAATGTACAGTACAAAATAGGTGGACTTTTTTTTTTTATCAGTGATTGAAGACCTCTGAGGTTCATGCTTGCTATTTGTAACTTAACAAAAGATGAAACTTTTTTTTTTTTTGCTATACTTTCCAATTTTTGGAGGCTTGCTTTGAATAGTGCCAGTGAAGTGCAGATATACATTTTCCTTTGGTCTTGTACATGACCTTTTCTACATGTGATTTACCCTTCATCCTCATTAAGGGCTATATCACAGTGCATCCGACAGCGGGGAGTGGAGTAAAGGACCACAGTGAACCAAGTCATCCACTATTACTACTACTACTACTACATGTTTAGAAAGAGATTATTTGCTGTCTGTGCTATTAAGAAGTAAAGGCAGAGTGTTAACACAAATGTAAGGTGCGTGTATGTGTGTGAGTAGAGGGTTTTTACCAAAACTTAAGATGCTTTTAAGTAATTTGTTTTTCCTGATTTCCTCACCACTTTTTGTTTGTATCGCAGTGTTGCTTGTAATCCATCATAAAGGTGACGAGACGCTTATCAGTACAAACACTACTACCAGAGCAAGTATTGCATGACTTCCCCCAAGTATTAGAGATGCAGCTAGTCGGCCAGGAGCTCTCCAGACCATACTGGTCTCTTTGCATATTTTAACCTGTGTCTATTTCTGCTTTCATGGCAGCTAAAGGAGGTGGAGTTGCGGTATTAATAATATGCGCCTGATTTATTTTGTTTTAGTAAAATGTTGCAGTTTACCAACTTGTTGAATTTGAGGACACTAATTAGGGGTAAAAGTCCCCAACCCCTGTTACTGCTTTATGAAAAAAATGAACCATTTTCATTACATTCAAGCAAATATGTGACTAATTCCAGTCACAAGGGTAGTGTAGAAATAATGAATTGAGGCTCTGTTTAAATATAAGCAGTGGAGAACTATTAAGATCTTTATTTAGTATTTAAAGCACGATAAGTTGGTCCCAGGGACCTGAGCTAGTCACGTAATGAACGGTGTAGTTTTTCCTGTAAAATGGAAGACGTCATGTCTCTGTAGAGTATACCATTAATTCTGGAAGCTTGTTTCACCTTTTCTGCTTCCTGTCACTGCATTTTTATCAGCTAGCTGATTCTACAAATGGCCAACTTCCACACTGAAGAGTTGTTTGCAGCGCAACTTTGTAACGCTTGGGGCATTAGTTAAAAAAAAAAAAAAAAGGTTTTCTGAGGGGGCATTTACTAAAAATCATGGTGCATCTCCGCTCTCGACCCCCGTCACCACTGATCTTACTGTGTGAACAGTGATAAGAGATTTATTCTCTTTTTTTCTGGTTGTAGTCATCTAGTATTTATCAATGCTGTTAAAGGCTATGCTGGTTTTATTTTTACACCATATTAGTTTTCTGCCTACTTAACATCATGTGTCAAGTTCATGTTTCACACAGGAAGCTTATTAAAGGTGCACTGCTTCCTACTTCATTTCTTCAAACAAAGCCTTTGTTTAAAATGGACCCCAAATAGTAATTGATGGTTTACACTTTGATAAAATTATTTTTGCCTACTTTTCAAATGCTTTATTCAAATTTGTCAAGAAGTAAATTTCCTTAGGTAAAATGTCCTTCAAAATGCCTTAACAGAACCCGATGTAGAAAGATCCAGAACTGCTGCTTAACCTCCCTGATAGTTCTGTCCATGTTTTACTCTTTCTCTATAAAAGAAACGTAAAGAGCCAATTTCAAATAGAACTTGGTTAAAATATGCAACAGAGCCAGTATGCTGTTTCTTTACTACAATTGACACTAACCTCTTCCTGAGGAGTGACTGCTGCTATCACTGTCTTCATATGAAGAGGATCACAGTAAGCCTAACCAAGTGTTTATCAGGAGTGTTATTCCTACTTTTCGTTAAGTGCAGCTCATCTAAATGGTTCCAGACCATGTATTTGCTAAATAACTTGACACGTGGTGAAGGGCCAGGTGGCTGTTGGTGTGGGTTCAATCTTCTAGTAGTCTTTTTTTTTTGTTTCCCCTCTTCATTTTGGACATTTATTTCAAAACAACCGGCAGAGAGGGATGCAGTTCAGCCTCCCCTCACTCATGAGCATTTTATTTCCCTTCACACTACTTTATTTTGTTTGCATTACATTACATTTTGCCTTGAGTAAAGCGAAATGGTCCTTTTATGTTTCTGTAAGCATGTCAAATTAAGGGAAATCAGATCTATCTTTCATTTTCTGTATAGAGCTAGACACTCGGCCCAAAGGTTGTTTCCTTTTTATGTAATATAAACATTTCCTGTACACTGTATTTTCTTTTTTTATTATTTTGGACCACTTCATTTAGTTTTTTTCCTCACTCCAATGAAAGCTGAACTTCAATCATGTGGTTTGTATAAAATGTGTTTTTATTTTCTATCTGAACCAACATGTAAATGATGTATTATTCTGAGTGTGCCAACCCCACTCTCCAGAGCCAGGCTCTCTCTAAGTGCCAATGATGTGGTCATTATCAGAAGGACCACCATTTGAGAGGGAGGGGGGGAGGGCTCCCCTTTGTTAAACAAACCAGAGACTGAGGTGATAATTATGAACACATAAAGATTTTATTCTGTATTTAAGATTGATTAATTTGAAAAATAATTTGTTCTTTTCATTTTTTTAAGAAACTGTAATTATATCTGCATGTGGTGTTTGTTTTGTGTTGAAAGTGAGGGCTTGGATGATTTCACTGAAGTAGAACCCTTAATTGAATAGGGTTCAATCAGCTGGTTATAATTGATTTACAGTAACTTTTGCCATATTTTTTTTATGTGTTTCATGTATTTGTTTCAACCACTGTTGCCTGATCCTCATTCAAACATGACTTATGATCATTGTCGCCTTCTAAGAGAGAAACATAATGACAAGGTATCTGTTTTAAATTGAAATAAATTTGTTCCTATACTTGCCGATGGCGTGTCAGTGGGTTTTCTACAAATTAAGATGGGATGTTTTGGAGTTTGCCACATGGTCAGTTTTCATGTTTAAAAACTGCAAAACTGGTGCAGGGGGATCAGTAGTGTTTGTTGCATGAATGGCATCCTGAGCCAGGCCCTCCTGCTACACCCTTATTACGAAAAAAAATCTTAACTGAAAGAAATATTAATATTAAAGAACTCATAAATGTAGAAAAATCAGAGATTTGATGTGTAAGTATGCAAAAGATTTTTATACCTGTAAAGTTCCAATGGAGACCAGACTGCTTCAAAGAAAAAAAGTTACACAATTTACAGTTTGCTTTTTGGGTCTCCTGTTTATGAACCTCTGGGTAGAAGGCCATATTGCCTATGTCAGAGGTCGGCAACCTTCACAATCTGTTTCGCCCTTAATGATGGAACTGATAAAATGAAAGTTATCACCATAATACTTTGAAGACTCATTTATTTTTATTTTTTTTAACTATAAAAAGAATATTTAAAAAGAAAACATCTACATTTTTTTAAGGGAAGGTAATAAAACCATTTTCTTGAATGAAGCGTTCCAGATGTACATTAAAAGAACATACAATTCACAGCCTAATAAGCAATAACCAAGCAGATTTAATGCCAATCTGTTGCAGGAATCTTCTAAGCTTAAATTGACTTAATGCTCTAATTAAAGCCTTATAATTTACAATGAAAATGGTAAAAATGGCCAGCATCATTTTTCTTGCATCATGGAGGAATGTTCTTTATGACTTAACTACTTGAAAATGAAACCATAGGACTTGGACTTTTTTTTAAACATGTTAAAATTGACTTTAACTTGACTTTAAAGAGTTGAGACTGACTTGTGACGTTGCATGTCCACAGCAGCTCTGTATAGCAGTGGGATTCAAGCAATAGTCGATAATCAGTGTTGAGATTTTTATTTATTTATTTATATTAATAATTTTTTTTTTACAATTGAGTGACTTACCAGAGATGAAAGAAAAGACAGCATATTGAATATGTTATCATTAACTTTTTTTAATGATGCTGCAGCAGGAATCGAAAGGTTTCCATAACCCATACTCGGATTAGAGCAGCATATTAGGCAGAACCACAGAAACTCCAGCTGAGACAAAATGTCTGCAGGTGTCAAGAAAAATGGGGCAGAATGAAACCATTCATTAAAAAAAGGAATGGATGAGTAGGGATCAAATGGAGTGACATACATTTTCAAAAATATATATTTATATATATATATATATATATATATATATATACCGTACATATATTAGCCATTTTTAAAGTTTGTCAAATTTGCTCACATATAGAAATGAAAAAGAAAATTATCTTCTAAATTAAGATGCGTAGCTTAGAGAATAAAGGGAAGTCACCAGAACAACTGAGATATAATTGAACTTTCACAATGAAAACCTTTGCAGTAATGCAATGTGCAGAGAAAACTACCTCCTCTTAGTGCTTGATATAATAATAATTGAAGTTTATTGATCTCAAATTGAAGAAATTTACCTCTACATTTAACCCATCCCCTTGCCCTGTCAACACACCCATGCAGGGCCCATGCGGTTTGGATGTGGTCTTGTGAGTGTGCCCCACCTCGGCTGCCAAGCTTTGTCCAGGGGTTCCATGGTGGCCCCCATGTCCCCAAGCCCAGATGGGCTCCATCTAGGCTTTCTTGGTTTCTCCAACAACAGGGACCCAACCTCAGGATTCCAAGCTCTATGCCCTAACCACTAGGCTGCCACTACCCTTGTGGCAGAAACCATACTTATTTTAACATTTTACATTTTGGTCAAAAACACAATGAAATAGGAATAAATTAGTTTTTTTATATTATGGGACACACAAAAACAGGGCAAAGGTACATCATTTGGTTTTTTTAAGTAATCCACAAGGCCTCATATTTATTACAGCACAACATCACGTCTTCAACTGTTTCATCTACCCCACAATATTCACATTTACCATCCCCATGTTAGATAAACAGAGTACTGTTTAATCCAGTGTGACCAAATCTCAATCAAGAAATTATTGTTTCTTCTCTTCTTGTTCTTCCTGTTTTCTTTTGAATTTTATAAAACCAATGCCCTTTTTTTTTCCTTTCTCCCATTCGTATTGCCATATATCCTTCATTTTCTGCTTAATTAACATTTTAACTTCCGATTTACAAAAACTAAAAATTAAATCCACTGATACATTTCTAATAGCTTATTTTGCTGCCTGATCTACCTGCTCATTTCCTTTAACTCCACAATGTGCTGGTATCCATACAAAATGTATTATTAAACCCATATTTTTACTATATAGTGTCTGTTGAATTTCTATTAAAATATCTGGCCTGCTTTCTGAGTGATTATACAGCAAACTAATTAAGGAATATGAACAAATAACTGATCTTAATGGCTTATCTTCTTCAACCCATTAAATAGCTACCGTAATAATATTTTTATCATTTCTTCTGTATAAAGTGAAAGTCCATCACTTATTCTTTTTTTAGTTTTAACATTGAATTCTGGTATTATGAAAGCTACTCCTATTTGATTTGTTATATTTTTAGAAGCATCTATATACATTTTAACATAACTATGATAATTATTAATATATTCCTGTACTACATATGAGTTTAATATGAATTCCTTATCCTTTCTTCTTTGCAACAAAGTAAAATCTACACTAACATCTGGAATCATCTATAGTTGTATAACTGATAATGGAACTGTTTGGTTTATATTTTGTCAGCCTGGCCCTGCCTAGTGCGGCCATGTTTAATATATTGACTGGCCACATGGGGCGCCCGCGCGCGCCACCGCTGCTCGGTTTGTGTTCCGGGTGATGTCCGTTCCTCCCATCAAAGCGGTCGCTGGGGGGGGGGAGCTCGTGTGTCAACATCCAGGGTTTTCCCCAGGGAGGCGTAGCATTAATACCTGATGTTGCCTTGAAACAGTCTTTTCTCAAACGGTAGCAGCTTTCTGTACTACAAAAAGCAGCAGAAGACGCACACCTTCACGCGCCGCTTTGACGTTAGCTAATGTTATTTCAAAGGATGACGGTGTACAAAGTGCCAGCAGCCTCTCCGGTAATTTAATAAGATCTGGGGGACGTGCTAGCTTAGCTAGCTGGCCTTGTAGTTTGGGTGAGACCAGGGAAACGCTGCGAAACGCTCTGCTGACATGATGTTTCCTCAATCCAGGCACACGGTGAGTAACCCCAGCCCGGGTGAACTTGTCCCGGGGAGGAAACGAAGCTAAGCTATGCTAACGTTAGCTAGCAGCCGATAGCGGATACCATGAGCCCTGTAGGTAGCTGTCAGCTGGCTGCCACAAAGCCAGACCTCTGGCTGGATTAGTTTAACAAGGTTTAAAACATATAATCACCAATATTAACGCATTATTATACTTTTTATTTTCAAATGCTAACTTTTAGCTTTAGCTAGCATTGCTGAAACAGCTAACCTAATATAGATAGGTGTGTTGCTTATTTCAGTGTTTAAAAAAATACTTTAAGCGGGGATATGTATTATTTGCACATTAAGAAAAACCCCACAAACATTTGTTTTGTAACATTTACGCACACATATGCCTCATTTGACTGGATATTTTTGCCTGAGGACAAATATTCCGTGTCCTTTTGTCTGAGCTCTATAAGTATCTTGTGCTGCAGCTTTAAATAAGCTGTAAAAACAAAGTAATGTATGATTTGCAACAAACAAAATAGCTCTGCTGCGAAACTAAAGTATTTGCACTGACCGTTCCTCAGCATTTGGTCGTCTAAAAAAATAAATATAACTTACAAACAAGGAAGGTAAGAGGTTTCAAATCCAAGAAAATGTTCGAGATTTGAAGATATTCTGTACTTTTGATAGCACAGGGATTAAAAGTGAAAAATAATTAGACATAAATATGTTTTTGTGTACAATGTCCCTCAACATAATCACAGTTACTAGTTAAATGAGTGGTCAAATAAAAACCTCAAACATAACACAATTTTTTTAAAAGGTTGGTTGAGGTATTTTATGTCAAATAATCCAGCAATCTAAAATTAATAACAGCAAAAGTATGTATGAAAAAACATTTTATTTTTAACACTATGCCAGAATACTATGTTATTCTGATGCAGCTTTTAAGTATCAATACTTTTTGAAGTATTGATACCTACAAACCTGGTAAGAGGTGTATAATTTCGCAGCAAAAAATTGGTAATAATCGGGGATATAGATTGGTTCAGGACGTAAGGGTTACTCCTTTTTTTTAATATTATATTAGATTAGGATTATTCTGATACATTTTAATGACACCTTACCTTGCAAACAACGTGAAGTTGTGAATTCACAGATCTGTGACAGTACATCTTGCCAGGAGCCAGCAGATGCTTATGGCTTGATATAGAAATGTTTCGAACAAATGAAATGCAGGGACGTGCTGGATCAGAAAATTAACAAATGAGACTAAATACCAGAGCACCATTCGCCAAAAGTCGACTAAATATGGCGGTATATAGTTGGAGCCAAGCGTTAAAAAAAAAAGAGCCTGCGTTTTGAAAGGGGCTGACTTATTTATGACGATGATGCTAAGCTGCTCATCGCCAGCAAAACAGAACAGAGAAATATTTGCTGGCTGTCAATCTATGAAACTGGAGAGCATCTGTGATTACCAGGGTTTCCGCAGGTCATTAAAAGTCATTATATTATTATTTTTAAAATTAAGGTTTAATTTGGCATCACAATTAATTAAATGTGATTATTTAGGCATTTAAAATGCTTAATTAAAAAAAGTGGTGAACTCAACCCCATGACGGCGCTCACTGCCCTGCTCTCATCTCGTGCTACTAGATAGAACTGAGGTCTTGTCAAACAGCAGCACCGCAGGGTGAGAGAGGCGCGATGATCGCTGAAATTTAAACGAGCTCAACCTTTCTATGAAGTCAAAACATGGCAGCCGACTGGTTGTAGGTGAAGCTTTTTTCAATTAAAATGGATTACAGAGAAAAATAATGTTTTCAAAGCTAGAAATAAGGAATGCTCTCAAAAGGTTTTTAGGTGGCTTTAAAAAAAAAAAACATTTTAATTTAGTCAAGAAGGACTGTTAATCGTCCTCACTTACCTCCAGCACAGACCCCAGACTGTCACTGCCCAGCATCGCTGCTTTCTGTGGGAATAGATTTACGAATCAGAGCTGCATCTGATAAACTAAGGTGGACTCTTTTTTTTTTTTTTCAGTGCTTTTGGAGCTTTTCCAAAAAGTTGATGGTCTCCCCTAAGCAATTCAAAAGTTGCTCATAGAGAACAAGGTCCGAATCAAAGGGTCTTGGAGGCTGGTAATTTACTTAATATTAAACAATCATTTCAGCCACTAAATAAGGTAAACATGCCCACTGTTACATTCAATGCCAACACAGGAAGGATGTGATGTTATGTAATAACTTTATATCAGGAAGGAGCGCAGCACTAACGTCTGCTGGGATGGTGACGCCATCAGCCATAATGAAAAATGATTCTATCCTAAAAATCAAACAACAGCTTTGCCTGCTGAAATAAAGTAGCACTGAAAAGCAGGCTTGATCCTTTTGATTACATTTAGAGCTTAATGGGGGTTAATTGACCTCTGGGTGACCTAGAAAATAATCTTAAATATCTCTGGAACAACAGTAGCACACATGATCTTAATTTTTAATTTTTTTTTTCAACAAATGATCAATTTTTCATAAATGCTCAAACCTGCAATAATGAAGCAGTAACCATTCAGTCTGTTTGCTGAGTTTTTTTTTTCACGATGGTGGGGTGTCAGCTTCATGCAGATGAAGCGAACAGGTGTTTACATACTGACACGGTCCAGGATGTAAACGCTTACCGTAAAATCTCTAATATTGGCCTGTATTTCATTAGCAGCCGGGTCTCTAATAATGGCCTGTCTGGCTGTCGGTGGAGGTAAATACTGGCCATACTCTTATACAGGCCGGGGCTATTATTAGAACCAACAATGTTTCTTGGCAGTCCTCAACAACTTGTGATAGTAAAAGAGTACCACAGGGGGGCAATGTTTGCTAACGAATCCAACCATTAGCATCCTTAGCGCAGACAGTGCCACAGACAGGAAGCCGGCTTGTTTTGTTTTTATGACCAAAATTGCGGAAACTACTTGTAAAGTTTGACCAGCTAGAAGAGCGAGGTGTGCGAGAACGCTGGGACCCTTTTTCCACCTGGAACTCCACTCTTTTTCGTCGTCATGTCCCTCCGTTGTCAGACTACTCGCCCCCACTTCCTCATCCCCTCGGCCATATCTAGACCCACAGGGTATAGCACGGACCACGCTTCAATATTGAGCATAAATCAAAAATGTCTGCGTCAAGCTCACTGCGACACACTGCTGCAGGAGTATAACCAGTCCTTACACAATCGTTCTGATCTGAAAGACACATGTGATTACCGGTACAGTAGGGCTGGTGGTAACCAGGCAACGTTAAAATGACAGAATTTCGTTTGCCTTCGTTGTTCTGAATTTCCCTTGAAATATATGATACTGTTAGCCTACTTCCACTTAGCCTGCCTCAAATAAAATTTCGCTGTGATGGTAGAACAGTTTGCATAAATTTTTTTTTTTTTTTTACTTTGTTTCGCAAGTCAATTTGGCCAAAATTCCATTCTGTCTTTTTTTTTCGTATTGCCGTGCAGAAAAATTGCAGCTGCTGGAAGATGTCTGAATAATGTTCTGTATACCGTTATAGTAACTGTACTTTTTCAATAAGTGAACCTAGTATTTTATAGGTTCAAAGAGACACAAAACCTCGGTCCACTGGTAGTCTGTTTTGATCAAATAGAAATAGAGGCCTGCCTCTAATTCTGGCCTCTTTCGAATAATGGCCTGGAGCAAGATGCGCCTGAGTGAAATGAAGGCCCCGGCCAATATTAGAGGATTTACTGTATTCTTAAATGCACAGCTGTGAACACTCCGCCGTGTTCTCAGAAATCACTGCTGACACCGCGTCCGGTCCGAATGCCCCAGAAGAAAGGCTACGCTTTTATTTATTTACAATGTAATCAATGAAATAGTTTGCTGTTTTTTGAATAGTTTTATTTATGCCCACTTTATCAAATAAATGTATTTTGCATTTGAACTTTTTTGAATGAAATTTAATGAAATCCTGCAACCTTATTTAATAAAACTACATTACCTTTTACTTTAACTTAATTTGCATTTAACATAATGCCTTAGTGAAACGTGTTTCTTATTTGAGAGAAAATTATAAAAAAAAAATTTCCGGCAGGTAAAAATATGCTTGGCCAGTGAGTCAAAAAGTAAATTTCAGACCCCGCGGATGTGTATAACACTAATGTGAATGGAAGGCTATACAAAAACAAACATGGCTGCTTTACTTGGAATAACGTCTATTTCTTTTATCCATAATTTTAATGTATCAGACTTTCAAAAAGTCATGTACCCATTTCTTTAAAGCCAAATATTGTATACATAGGCTGATTTTAGGAATCTTTTAAGATTGATTTGATTTTCTTTCCATCCACTCATTTTTTCTTTTCTTTTTTGTAATATATATATATATATATATATATATATATATATATATATATATATATATTATAATATATATATATATATAAATTTGTCTGTCTGTCCTGCTCTTGTAGAGCCCGACCGATATGGGATTTTTAAGGCTGATATCGATAAAGGGGGCTTTAAAAAAAAAACTGATATCCGATATATATCTGCCAGAATATAAAAGAAAAAACTGAACCTGGACAAACACAGGATATGCACCGTCCAACTATAGTCCAACTCAAATTCTCATAACCAAAAATATGATTAAAGACAAAGAAATAGAACTATAGAATTAAAATTAGCAACTTTAATTTGAGCAGTGTCAACATAAGACTATAAATACAATCACATTTTTTTTGGTTCTGATTTAGATATTGCCTCACATTTGTTCTGTTTTTTTGCCTTATTGGTGCTGGTGCCCTGACAAACTTAACACTGCATCCAACACCTGTTACATCGTTCATGAAGGGGCTCCACACCTTGGGTCCCTTTCAGGAAAGAAGTTTAACAAACTTAGATCCAGATTTGCATCTCTAAATTGATCTAGCCTAAAGTCGTGAACTCTGAGTTTTCTGTTTCACAACGGCTGCTATGAATTAACTCAATCACCTCTAAGTAGGTCCACTCAGGGTTGAACATGTGCATAAGAAGTTTGAAAAGCCATTATCAGTTGAGTCCCGATTCGACGAGTCAGCGTGGCAACAAGAAGTGCCTGTTTTACCCAACTAGAAAAAGAGATTTTAAATTGCTTCTTTTAAATTTGTTTATTTCACAAAGAGCTAAAATTGACTCTGAGCTAATATGTTTGCCAAAACTAGTGCATATAAAACTATCCTTCATGCGACCTAACAGCGTGTCTCCAGGAGGACATTTGTGGATATGGGGCACCCAAGTGTAGTTTTACAAAATCGAAGCTTACCATGGAGTTCACTGTTCTTCTCCCTCTTCGTCCACCTCCATGCTTATGCTAGCAGCAGCTATGTGAGCGTTTGTGTTTGAGGAAAGGTGTGGTGCATAGAGTTCACTGAGGGGAGGGCCGACACACAGCAGATCAGCGCTCAGGAAGAGAGGCAGAGGAGCAGAGTCGGCGCTGACCGAAGGTTCTTTCAGCTCTTTGCTGCAAAAATAGAATTTTTATATTGGCCACATTTTCACTGATGTCGCTGATGCTAAACTGGTCTGATAAATTGGCCCGGCGATTAATCGGTCGGACTCTAGTCTCTTGACACTTTGTCCACTGCACTAATCCATGTTTTTGTCCTCTATTATTGTTTCTGTCAGTCAGTGTGTTTCTCTTTTTGTTCACTGTCCATCTTTATGATCAGTCATGTTGTATTTTGCCTGTGTGCCTCTTCATGTTCACTCATCTTTTGTCCACTTGCCCGTTATTAATTGATCCATTTGTCAATGTGGACCTTTGTCCCACTCCCTCATTAGAACACTTCTAATTGTACCATAGAGCAAGAAAATGGTGGTAAATTTGTCCACCATCTCAACCCCAACAATCAACACATTTCTTCCATTTTGGATGGAGAGTCTTTAGCCTTTGGGTCACTGAATGTTTCCTTCCTCTCATTCCAATCCCATAATCCAGCAAAAAAACTCCTGGCTCTTGTGCCACTTGTTTAGACAGTAATGAGGTTAAGGGAAAAGGATAAATGCTGGATTACAGCTTTGCAGGATGGTTTAAATGTCTGTTTATATGTAGCTTCTAGATACTTCACACAAATGGAGGGCTCTGGCCCATTTGCTTTCGTTTCCTCAAAAGGAGGGGTTGTCTCTGAGCAGATGTTATGAGTCGATGGGATGTGTTTTAGCGGTTAGCTACGTGCTATAAATCCTATGCCGTTCCCTAGATACACAATCCAAAATGGAGGTCGATTCAGCACTGACCCTCAGTTAATTTTAAAGGTCAAGATGCAGTTTTTAAACCTACTCAAAATTTAATTAACCAAGGATGTCTCTATCTCTTTCCCTGCTGGTTTTGCCTGTCAGATTGGAAGTCACATATGATGCATTTAGTATGTGAAGCGGTTACATAATTAATTTCTAAATACAATGCATGCACCTTGTTCTGTTTTCCCAAAGGCGTCATCTCAGTCCGGCCAAGCTCTGAAGTTCACCACCTCTGACTCCTGTGACCGAATCAAAGATGAGTTCCAGTTCCTGCAAGCACAGTATCACAGGTAAACACACGCACACTGTAATTTTGTCAATTTTAGCTCAGTAAAGTCCTAATTTTTAAAATAGTGAGACCTTTGCAGGCCTGCATTTATTCCCCAGCGGAATGTGTATTGCAGTAGAAAAATGCTCCTCATGTTCAACAACATTTTACAAAGTTATACATTTGAGCCCTGATAAATTCACATCCCAGGCAGATTAAGATTTGGTGCTTTTTACCAACATGTTTGGACGTTTTAGAGCGAATCTGAGTAGAAGATGACTGTTTTCACACTCAAAAGACGTGGGGTTTATCGCTAAAAATAAGTGATCAATATACTGATAACATGCTCTGCAAGGATAAAAAGGGTGGGATTCATGAAACGCTAATATAATATAAAATAAATAGTAATCTAACTCTAACTCTAATCTCTTGGTGAAAGGAATATATCAATATAAATCTGCCTATAATTATTACAATATGACCATTTTTAGGATATTTATCTTTTAAAAACAGTATTTCATCATTTTGATAACGTACTTAACATGTTTTAAATAGACCCACAGTTTTCCTTGTTTTTTAATTACAGATCTTTGAAAAATAAATTTGAGTAAAATTGTGTTTTTTTTTTTTTTTTTTTTTTTTTTTTTTTTTTTTTTATAAATCTTTTTGGCCATGAGATGCAGAGTAAAAGCAGGGCTTTGTGTCTGTGGTCTAAAATTCATATAATGTTTCCATCCAGTTTGAAGTTGGAGTGTGATAAGCTGGCCTCAGAGAAGTCAGAGATGCAGCGTCACTACATCATGGTGAGTTTGCAAAATCTTCTCTCTATTTGTTCAGCTCCATGTAATTACCGATGCTTACTTAGAAGTTGTTCATAAAGGGGATTTGAGTTGATTTTACTTCTTGTCTTTGTCAAATTGTTTTGTTACAGTATTATGAAATGTCCTATGGGCTCAACATTGAAATGCACAAACAGGTACGTCAATGTCTTTTAGAAGAAACCCTTTTGATATCAGGCTGTTAGTGTTTCCTTGTTCTGACTATATGTAATGTTTTCTTTTCAGGCTGAAATAGTGAAGAGACTGAATGGGATCTGTGCTCAGGTGCTGCCTTACCTGTCCCAGGAGGTAAGATACCTTCATGTGTTTTTAAACAAGTTCGACCAACCCTTCAAATTTTCATACCTCTCTAACTAGTATTCTGCATTTTTTCCCCAAACAAGGAGTTGATTTTTCTGTAAAATACTCTGATAAACTCTGAGCTTGAACTGGATTTCAGCCACCATATTCGCTCCTATTATCAGGCATGTGTAGATAGATTGATGCAGACATAGCCAGCCAATGACTGAAGCCAAACTCGAGGCTGAATTAAAGAGGCAGATGCATGCGCTGCGGCACTCTGCTTGGAGGTGGCCGCCTGCTTGAGCTGCTCTTTAGAGGAAAACTATCTTTCCTTTTATGAGTTAAGTTTTAATTGTTCAAAGGTGAGATTGCTTATTCAGGCGACCCTAACACACCTATGCCGTTGATTTGATTAACCTTGATTGCTGCTCTATCTATATGTCTAGAGTCACTCAGCTAGAAGGTGAACCTTTTCTTCTTTTGCTGCCTTGCAATTGTCTTATATTTATGCAATTGTCTTATATTTATCTCCATGTCCTAAATTTGTGACTAGCTTTTCTCTTAGATAAGGGAGGGGGTGCTTTTTCTTTCTGCACACATTTTGGCCAAAAACTTTGATTTTGGCTTCATTTGACAAGAAAAGTTCCTCATTTATCTCAGCCGAATAGAAGCGTCCCCACACCATAATGCTTCTACAGCCATATTGTAATTTTACCATAAACTACGGATATAAATATTCTCCATTTGATAGATTTTCTTCAAACACCATTAAAAGGCAGAAAAAAAAATCAGATTTTTGTTTTTTAATGTTTCTACTTGTCAACATTTCTGCCTTTTTGTATATATGATATTGAAGTTTCCCCTTTTCAGCACCAACAGCAAGTCATGGGCGCCATAGAGAGAGCCAAGCAGGTCACACCTCCTGAGATGAACTCCATCATACGGGTGAGCAAACCTGGTGACTTTTAACCCCTGCTGTGATTCAGATGTTGCTGGGAGCCATTCAGGCTTGTTGCAGAAATATGATCTGCTGTCATCCAATCCACCTTATGAAAGATCCAAGCAACTTTCTGGATGTTCTCTTCACAGACATTTATTACTTTTTTTGCTCCAAGTAAGGGAACTATTATAACATTAGTAGGTAATCAGTTGCTATGATGTTAGTAGCATTTTGTGCAAGATTATTGTATAGAAAGATTTCTGCCAAACTATACTGTCCAAAATTAATAAGACAAATGGAGTGATAAGCTGTTTAAAATGCCTTAACTTAATTAAACCTTTATTGCAGAAGCACAATTTTTACTGAAGGCAGAAACCAACCCTAAGAGTACATTTGAGCCTCTGTTGCTACACATTTAGATTTATGTTCTACTAAATAAATTTTGTTTATTAGAAGTTTTCTCCATTGAATAAATGATTTAGTAAAAAAACTGCCAAAATCTGGATTTACTTGAAGGCTTTTTAGAGGTTTTGTTAGTAAGGGTTCTGTTTCTTTTTTTTTTTATCTTGGTCTAGAATGAGTGATTAAAACACCAATTGATGGCTGCTAAAAATGTATCGCTCAATTTAATGATTTTTTTGGACTCACCTTCTTGTTCTGTTTGTTCGTTTGCAGCAACAGCTGCAGGTGCAGCACCTGTCCCAGCTCCAGGGCCTGACCCTGCCCGTGACCCCGCTGCCCCTGGGCCTCACCCCGCCCTCCCTGCCTGCGGTCTCCTCCAGCTCAGGCCTGCTCTCCCTCTCCTCCATCCTGGCCAACTACTCTCACAGCCAGCCGCAGGCAGGGAAGGAGGACAAGGCCAGAGACGGTGCAGAGAGAGCGCCCAGGGGAGACGATGGCGACAAGTCAGACTAGTGAAGGCTCACAGAGGTCATTGGGCTGAGGGTAGTGGGAGCTAGTATGTTGGGGTTGGGGGGGTGTAAGTGTTTAAAAGGAAAACTGACTGTAAACGGGGGTTGATGCACGACTGACTGCTGAGTGTTGTAGAGAACTACGCAGAAATGATAATGATGAGGATTCTGAAACGCTTAAAATGAGAGCTAAAGTCTGTGTGGTTTAGTGGTCAATGGCTCGGTTCAGACCTCAGAAGTTCAATAGTTTCTTTGTGTGTGATCAGTTGTTATTAGCCCTAACGGATATAAATGTTGTTGCTTTTGCAGGGAGGGCTGACTGAGCAGCTGGCCTTCTTCACTTTGTTTGCCATGTCTCCTGTAGTCACACAGCAACAATAAGCAGGTTTAAAAACACCCTGGATCTTTATATCATTTGCTTTCCTTCTTTGTAGGTAACAGAGGCACCGCTATCAGTTTATCTCCAATAAACTCTCCCACCTGTTCCCTCGGATATGGCTTTAAAGTATGAAATAATCTTTTTTGAAGTGTAATGCTCATCCCAAACAAGCAACAATTTGATCCAACATGGAGCTGGTGTCCCTTCAGTTATTACACTGGATGAACTCTGTTTTTGAGCTGAGTCCTTTCAAGATGAGTTTAACGTCATTTTATTTTCAGGACCAGACTGAAGAGTTTTTTTTTTTCTTTTCTCTTGATTGTTCAATCCAGCTTTCTGATAGCTTGGAAAATGCAGCATTCCCGATCATTTACGGCCTGTAGCTCCCAGAACTCTGAAATCCATGTGATTCAGCTTTCATTCAGTTCATTATTTTAACTTACTCTAAACTTAATCGTCTTCAACGTTCACCAGCTTTTTGTAATCCAGGAGCTGCTTCTTTTCCACCTTTAACTGACATCATTTTTGATTGATTGGAGGTGAAGGAAAGGTGACAGACGGGAACTGTTTGCTTTTTAAATATTCTCTCGTTATAGAATGCCGACATAAAGCAGTAGCTATAATCAAAGCAACTAAAAACACCTCAGATACCAGAATACTCTCATGTTTTCCTCTCCTTTTGGGCTTCAGATCCTTCTTCAAATAGATTTTCGGTGAGTTGTATGCATGCTGCATCAATTCTCGTTCCGTGTTGGTTTCCGTGTTCAGGGGAATCGAGCTGCTGCCGTATTAGATTGATTTTTATACCTTGGGGTAAAATGGTGTTTGCTTCTGTAAAGATTTCTTTTTCTTTGTTTGCACTTCAATGTTTCACGTGATCAAAGAAGTTTAATTCTAGAAAAACAATTGTTGGAAAAAAAAATTAATGCAGCTCTTATTTATTAAGCGGGTAAAAAGTTTCCAAACCAACCTGCCTGCTTGTGCCATCAATGGTTGCCATAAATGACTGGGAATCTTTGGATAGTTTTCAGGACAAAACAATCAAATTCGTGTCCAGATTCTGCATAGGCCTCTCAAAAATCATTATTTTGGTTTGTTTGGCTATGAAGTTGTACCAGACCATCATCAGCTGTTCCTTCTCAATCCCCCCCGAATAGTCTTCATGTGAGGCTTCGGTTTCAAGCCATCAACAGGTTTATCTGAGAAACCCTAACCAGATCAGCGGTCTCAAACAACTCCAGTCCTGCATCTTGCACTGTCTAGACACATCTATGCTTCAACCCACTTGACTCCAACATGACCTACTTGGTAGAGTTCTGCACTGCCAGATTGCTGCTAGTGAAATATTTTAACCATTTGATTCAGGGATGTAGGGAAAGGTCACATCTAAAAGTTGCAGGCTTTCAGGTTTAGTGTTTGAGACCACCGTCTGAATGCCTGATGTTAAAAGATTATTTTATGGATAATGTTGCTGTGGTTCACCAGAGTCTCAGTCTTAGTAAGTCTTGAGGCTTCATTTGTATTTGAGTCTTCATGTGGCCATGATTTCTCAACAGGGGTAGCTATGCTGTCAAAGGGGCAGGTTGGTTTGGCTTAATTTACAATTTGAAGTAGAAAAACTTTCTTATTATCATTATCTCTTAAACGAATTTAGGATTGGGTTTTACAACAAAAGGAGAGAAACGTGACATTTGCAAATTCAAATCAATGTAAATAGTCTATCATGGTTGGACTTTTAGTTTTTAGGCAGCAGAGGGCAGCATTGCTCTCTTTTTGTGGCTGATTTGTGATTGCTTCACCCCCTTTACTTTGATTACTAAGCCCTCGAATCAGCATTAAAAACTCTTTATCTTAATTTGAAGCACTTAAGTATCAGTACAGTTTAGCTTTTCCTCTGTATGAAGACGGTAAAAGGTTTCCTTCTTTTCTTTTAAAAATTTTTACTTCAAAACATCTTCAAGCTCGCTCTCCTAAAACTGTTTGGCAAAACTCTGACATGTGAATAGTTTGTGCATTTGTTTTGCTGTGAAGGGCCAATTTGTATACATACGAATATATCAATATACATATTTTTTAAAGCATTTTTGTATGTTTCAAAGCTGCTTTTTAATGTGTGTGTATATCAAAGACCTTGGTGTCGTGTGTGTATGTGCGCGCATTACATGCCTAAAGGCACAATGTTGTATAACATGATTTGGGTTTTTTTTCTGGTTGATTTTCTTCTTATCATCTTGTAACATTAATTCTAGTTTTCTAAATGTTTTTTCTTTTTCTTTCTGTGCAAAAAAACTACACAAAAACAACCCTGTTAAATGTCTTTGAGACACATTTTAAGACACCTGGGACAAAAAAAAAATGTAAGCAAGCAGCTTGTACTTAAGAATGAATCAACCTTTTAGCAGTAAGGAAGCTTCTCTGGTGCCTTACAAATAAAAGATGTGATTAAGAGTGGCCATGTGTGTTGTTAATCATTTACTACCCATGCCAAGGAAAAAAAACAAAACGGTTCGGCTTCCAGGTTTATCGGAAGTGCTGGTTTGTAGATCTTTACTGAAAGTTCTTTTTCCAGAAACTTTTTATAATTTGTCCCTTTCCTCCCTTGTTAACATGTCTCTTCCTTTTTTCTTTCCTTCACTTTTTACTTCAAAACCATCAATGGAGAGAAACTGACTGACCTGCAAAAAAAAAAAAAAAAAAAGATTTACAGAAATTAAAACAAATCTTGTTTTTTTTATTTTCATTTAGAAGTTACAATTCAACTATCCTAGTGAAAGGGTTTTTTTTTTTTAAAGGAGAAGAAGCCCGAAGTTCTAAATGTGTTCCTCTATGCATTATAAAAATCTGCAAACTCTGTAAAATCCTTTAGGTTGTGTTACAAATACAGCAGTCTGATAAAGATTTTTTGCAATATATATATATATACACACACACAGTGTTTTCATGAGCAGCTTTTCCCTCCACTTAAGCATATTTAGATAGAAACTGTTTCATTTCATACCACGTTAACATGTAACAATCATTAAAGTAACTAAATGTGCTTAAGTAGATGCAAAAGATGCATGAAGCAATTTTTTCAGATCAAATACACCGAATTGTTTTGAGTATTGTAGTGTCATATAGTGGTCTAAACTATCAAAACAATGTGATAGGGCTGGGTCATATGGCTTAAAAAAAGAGAATTCCTACTGAATTTGATTTACCTTTTTTTTTTTTTTCCTTAAGTTTCATAACAAAAATGACTAATTGCTTTCAGAAATTAGCTTTAATTTCAATCATCCCCTCTACATTTCAAGGGTAGTGAAATTGAAACTGTAAAACATGTTTAAATAAGTAAATTTAGAAATCATTTGGCCACAAAAAATGACTTTGCTGTAATTTTAAATTAATCCAGGTGGAGAGGGGTTTAGAGTTTTATTTTTATTTATGAGATATTAGACCAAGATAAAAAAAAAAAAAATCAATAGTTCTTAATATAAGCTGTCATGACATTTTCAGACACAGATGCAAGTAAAGTATAGAGCGGCCTTCTTTACTGATAGAACTTTCCAGATTCTGCTCTTTTGTGGTCTACTGTGTATAAATGGGATTTAGCCTCATAAATGAAAACATGCTTTCAAAGGTGGTTCATAGCTACCTGGGTTTGATTTATGTCATATTTTCTTTTACATTCTGGTTAACTGGCCCAAACTGGGATGAGAACCACATCCAATCAAAATAGAATCCAATTGAAAATCAAAAAAAAGAACCAATTAAATTCATCCTCATGTTTAATTTGATTATTGTATTTATATCTACAGTTCATGAAACCTCTGATCCATTACTAGAAATAACCAGAGGAAATACTGAGTTCAGTGGTATAGTATGCCAGCATGTGGATATGAACCGTCTTTAGTGGGTTCTGTTGTTCTGAAAGTTTCTATCTAATCAATTTCAAGATTTTTTTTTTGTTCATGTGACACATATCTTTAAAGTGTCTTCGCAAATTGTAATTCCTTTCACAACTAATATTTAAGATTTGACTTTCAGCAGTTTTGTGATGTTCTTGCCAACCGAACAGAAAACAGTTGGTTTGGTTTAAATATTTACATAGTCCACAAATCATGGATAAGCTGGCTTCATATTTGGCAGTGTGGAACAGACTTAAAAAAAACAAAAAATCTTCCTCGACAAAGTCAGCTATTTAACAATTCAGAATACAAAGTAGTTTAAAAGTGGGCTGGATTCTCCTACAATAAATAAATACAATTTAAAGTCAGTTGGTAATCTTTGATAAAAATCAATCAAATAATGAAACAAAGAAATGAGAGGAAAATACTATTTTGCATTTATATGAAAATATCTATAGGATTACAGTTGCTCAAAACTCAAAGGAAATCATATTTTTTTTTATATGGCAACATCTAGATATAACTTAGAAACCCCTTTTTTTCTTTTTTAATTCACCCATTAACTCTTCTCATGTTATGCAATAAGGAGGAAATAAGGTCCCTCCGTTTACTGCTGACAATCAGTTAAAACCTGTTTGAGGTAAATGGAGTACGTCCAACACGTCTGTAATAATAAAATTCCTTCTAACACAGAAGGATTATGCTTCTAAAAGGAGGAAAAAACATTATTCACAGCTTTCTGTTGAGCTGCGTGTCTGATGTGGCAAGGCTGGCCCATTTCACTGTTAGGAATCTCACAACTGTTAGCAGCAGGTCCAGACATGAACCCTGCGTCACGTTCTGAATGAAACAGCAGAGAAGAACAACTGAAGTATTTCCTATATGAAAGTCGATGTTATGAAATTTATTCCATCTTCCTGCTGGAAGTGGAACACGGGAGGAATTGGAGTTGGGTGAAGCCTCACAGTAGCTAATATGGGGTGGAGGTTTAAAGAATGAGCATAGGATCAAAAATGCAAAGCAAAATACATATAAATGTGCTTCAAAAAGGGTAACAAAATTCCACCACCTGCTTTTGATAATAAAAACGTGGCGCAAGAGGAACTGGAACAATTTTTCCTTTTGTTTTCATGTCTAACAGTTGGCCGTTATTGAACAAGAGACTCATCTACTGACAGTCAAGTTGGGGTCTGGATTAAATTTGATCCCCTGTAGCTGAAACTGAAAACATTTAAACTAGTCCAACAGGAAGTAAATTGTTCTACACCATCCAGAGACTCTTTACAAATACCATCAGAAATGTATGAAATCTTTATTGTATTTTTTTTTCTTGCTTTTTTTGGCAATATAATCACTTTACCTTGAGACAAGCTTCAAAACAATATATACAAAAAATCAAATCAGGAGGGAATTATTCTGACCTTTATCAGATTCTTTAAAATACAGATTATATTTGGAGAAATTAGATAGCCATTAATGGTAGAACTGACACTGCTACATAGAAAACCTGTTAATCTTGAAATGATACAATATTTATCACATATAATTGTTTTAATCAGGATAACAACACTATATAAGGCGGCCTTTGAGAAACAGGGAATTAAAACATTTTTGTGTCACATGCATTCCAATAGGATAAAAACACATGCATAGAAAAAGGAAAATGATGTGCAGATACATTCAGATCGAGTGTATATAAAAGCTGCAACAGTCATCTTCGACTGGAGCAACATAGATAGCATTTAGCACTCAGAGGCTCGTTACTTGAACCTCCTCTTTCAATTTGTTTAAAAATGGTCACTTAATTTGTCACGAGTATGAAAGCAGAGTCATTAATGGAACATATAAAACATAATAGCTGTAAACTGTTGCACAAATCCACACACACACGCACAAAAGTCAATATGGCACTTTTCTGGCAGCAACTGCCCCCACCTTAATACCAGTCATAAAGTTTATGCTCCAATGAGTTTTTGGGACTCTATTTTTCATAGTTGTAGAATAACTATTTGTGTGTTGAAAGCATAGTTCTGTGGATAACGGAGCTGCTGTCACATGTTTTGTTCGGATCGGCGCCCTCCTCAATAGCTTATGCCTGTCCAGGACTGCTGTAATGGTTTCCGCATTCAAGTTGGTCCACCTCTGCAGGATCAGCTTGTGTGCTGGGCTGAGGCCGTGGCTTGAAGAAATCAGACACGTATCGAACCTGAGAACAAAATAGTGGCACAGACGTGGTCTTTGAATACTGAAACCAGAAAGGCAGCTTTTGAAAATGTAATGCATCATTTACTGCATATAGCATACAATTATTAATATGCCTTTGAACTCGTTTACATTTAAACAAGTCACAACTTTGTCTGGCTGTCATTTTTTATCTTCTCTCTTCAGAGTGTATCATTGTGAAGAATGATAAAAGTCCAGGATTGAATCCAGTTTTAGAAAAACTATTAAAATAATAGTCCTCATTCCAATCAGAGTAAGTTCGAGCAGTTTTACAAAAAAAACATGATTTTAATGCCTTCATGTGCACACCTGGTAGAGAAAAACTTCTACTGCAAAAATGATCTAGAAATAAGTAAAAATGTCTTAAATTAGGTGTATTTATTCTTAATTTGAGTAGATAAATAACATTATTTGTCAATTGAATTAGATTTTTTATTTTTAAAATTAGATAATTAGATAGCAATGCATATGAAATAAGGCAATACAATTGTTTATTCTTATTTTAAACGTAAATTGTCTTGTTCCATGTGTTTCATTAGCACATGCCTCCTCAATTCAACAAAAAATGCACTTATTTTAAGTTTTATGCAGTGTACTTGTAGATGTAAAGCGACAAAGGCTGATCTAGAGTACTGATTCAATACTTTTGAATGCAAATTTATGCCATATTTATCAACTACTCTTCTGCAAATACAACATAAGCTCATTGCAGTAATGGACACATTCTAAAAGATCAAACTTTTAGAATTTGGTTAAAAAAATACGTTATTTTACTCTTAAATCCTCAGATATCTTAAAATTGTAATGCATTTATCAATCTTTAGCTGATCAGGTCATGTAGGGATCAACTCACAGTGAGCACAGCGATGAGCGCTCCTTGCAGCAGTCCCACCACCACGTCGCTCCAGTGGTGTTTGTAGTCTGAAACCCGTGTGTATCCGACGTAAAGAGCAAACGCCACCAGAAAGAACTGGATTGTGGGCCGAACCAGCCTCGTCCACTTCCCCTGCATTCGGGCATGGACATAGAGCTGCACACACAAAACAACATTGATTAAAAAAAGGAAACGTACAATAATTGTTGTCCAACAAACCTGACTATGACATTATAAAACCATTTAATAAAGTTGAAATAAAATCTCTACTCTGTCATAAAAAGAGTAATTATCGATTTTTGCCTGATGCAAAATATAAAATACAACAATGGTGTTTCCATATCTGAGCCGTCTCTGTCTTAACCACCTTATCCTGTTTTGGCTCATTTCTGGGGTTTTTGCTTAACTGTCTTTTCACATCCGGTCACAGTGTCATGTAGTGAGCACTCACCGACAGGAAGAGCATGCAGTACATCCCAAAGGACGAATGGCCGGAGTAAAACGACAGCCTGAGGAGGAAAAAAAAAAGGAGGAAAGTATAATAGGGGAGCTACAGATTATAAAATAATGTCATTGATTTTACACACACAAAAAAAAAACATTACAACCCCACCGTATTTATTAAGCATCATGTTTATTTGACTACATCAGCTGGACATTATTCAGCATAAAGTTTGCTCTATATAAACCTGTTTCAGTATGATTTTATTGGCTTATGAACCTGGTGAACAACTCTAAGATATCACAAAAGTTTAAAATCATTCATTCTAATAATAGTAGTCTAGATACTATTCCACCAGAGGAATACTCAAATTAATACTCAAAACCACCATCAATAATCCAAGCCAGGTTGTCCAAGCAAGTTTTTACCTCAAATCAGACAATAAGTTGCTAAAAGAAGCCTTAAAAAAAAAAAACGTAAAATCTCCTTAAAGAGCCGACCTCAAGACTTGCTACAGTTGAAGAATATGTGTGTGTGCCTGTGTATGCCTGTGCAATTTAACAAGTTTAACTTGTGTTTATACGATGGAGTAGGTGATTGACATAAGCTACTCTGGCCTGTTATGGGGAAGCAACATCTGAGCAAAATAGAAAATCTCATTAACCGATCCAACTACGTTCCAACCTCTCACATTTGATCATGAGATATTTTGGTCACAAATGTAAAAAAAATTGAAATCTAGACAAGTCATTTTTTCTTAAAGAAAGTGCATTTGTTCTTGGATTTAGGAGGTAAAAGAAACCTTTTGCTAATGGTACAAGACAATTTAAATTTAAAATAAGAAAATGCATTATCTAATTTAAAGTGGATGTTATCTAATTATCTTATTTTAGCCTCAATTCAATGCAAACCGATCTAAAATAAGTTAAAATTTCTTATAGTATATTTACCCTTAATTTGAGTAGGTAAATACAATGATTTGCCAATGTAATGAGTATTTTTGCCCTTAAAATAAGATAATTATATAATATGCGCTAGTAATAACACAATGCAATTTATTTTTCTTATTTTAAATGTAAATTGTCTTGTTCCATTGGCAAAGTGTCTCACTTACCTCCTCAATTCAAGAAGAAATGCACTTATTTTAAGAAAAGATGCCTTATTTATGTTTAATTACACCCAACATGGTGAAGTAAAACACTTAGATACCAAAGAATGTTCTGGAGGATTTAATTTGGGAGGCGGGTTTCTTTTGTTCCCCTCCTGGACCTGTTGCTTCAAGCAACATAATCTCAGACACGTGGAATCTGGTCAGGCGAAAGGCTGCAAGAGACAAATGATCAGTTTTTCCTGAGACCAATCTGAGATGAGTAAGATGATAAGAAGATTGCCAGATAAAGATAAAAGATCTCTTTACTGCACATACAGTAAAATGAAAACTGTTACAGACAGCAAAAAGGAAAAAAAAAACTCAAGCAATCTAATCCATTAAAAAAACTAATATATTTAATTCACATATCTAACCTAAGCTAACCAATTCAACAGAAGAAATCTGCTCTCAAAATTTAATGAATACCTAATGTAACTATTTATGGAGGTGAACCTTCTGATGATGCCGATTATAAATGATTACCGGTATACTCCACATTCTGCCGGCTTAGATGCACTGCCTTCATTGCCTTAAAGCACAGAAACTGGATATACATGAAACTGGAGCAAATTCTTCATTATTATTTGACAAAATATTGGTCATGTAAGTGTGTAACTTGCACTGGTGTCAAAAGTACACACATTTGTTACTTAA